GCATGTGTGTGTCATCCAAAAGCAAGAACTGAGCCAGAAGTTAACAGTGGTTGTCTCTGGTCATGGGATTTGTTCTTTGATGTGTTTTTCTGTATTTTGAATTGTTTTGCAGGGAATATGTTTTATTTTTATGATCAAGCCAAATGATAAAGCTTTCTCAGTTTGAAAAGGGGAAACACTTAGGTCCTCAGCCCCCTCCCATGACCTCATTTGTCCCCATAATGCAGACGTCTCGAGCACCTGACTTAGTCTGTGAGGCTTCTAGCCTAATCACCCCGCTCTGCCGATGAACTCGGTTATGCCTGTGCCGAAGTCTGACTACAGGCGACAGATTCTGAGCATGGCTCCCACGGGCTCCATTCCGAGCATTTTGGGATCAAGGAAGTGCTCTATTAGTAGCAGCTGCCGCAGACCTATCAAACCGCAGGTCCAGAGGCAATAATTCTTTCCATTTCCCTGGCCCCCTGGCCCTGACCCTGGCACGCTGGATTGCCAGGAGCACAAGGATCTTCTTTTGTTTTTTCCCTTGGGAGCTTTATTTCTTTTTTTCCTCCCAGTTTTACTGAGATATAATTGACACATAACAGTGTATTACTCCAAAGTGTACAACATAATGATTCGTCATATGTATGTATTGTGTGATGGTCACCACAATAGGTCTGGTTAACATCCATCACCTCACATAGGTACAAATTGTTTTTTTCTTACGAAATGTCTTTTTTCTTATGATGAGAACTTTTAAGATTTCCTCTCTTAGCAACTTTCAAATATACATTCAGTATTAATTAACCATAATCGCCATGCTGTACATCACATCCCCAGGACTTATTTCTTTGACAACTGGAAGTTTGTACCTTTTGACCCCCTTCACTCATTTCCCCCACCCCCTAGCCCCTGCCTTTGGCAACCACCAATCTACTCTCAGTTTCTATGAGTTTGGTTTTTTTCGACTCCGCATGTAAGTGAAATGAGACGGTATTTGTCTTTCCCTGTCTGACTTATTTCACTTAGCGTAAAGCCCTCAAGGTCCATCATGTTGTTGCAAATGGCAGGCTTTCCTTCTTTTTTATGGCTGCATTATATATATATGAACATTATCTTAGTGCACTCATCCATCGACGGACACTTAGGTTGTTTTCACGTCTTGGCTATTGAAAATAATGCTGCAATGAACACGCGGGTGCAGACCTCTTATTGAGATAGTGATTTCATTTCCTTTGGATGTATACACAGAAGTGGAATTGCTGGATCATATGGTAGTTCTATTTTTAATTTTTTGAGGAACTTCCATACCGTTTTCCATAGCGGCTGCACCAGTGTACATTCCCACCAACAGTGCACAAGGGTTCCCTTTTCTCCACATCCTTGCCAGTGCTTGTTATCTCTTGTCTTTCTGATAATAGCCATTCTGACAGCTGTGAGGTGATATCTCATTATTTTTTTTTTTAAAGATTTTATTTATTTTATTTTTTCCCCCCAAAGCCCCAGTAGATAGTTGTATGTCATAGCTGCACATCCTTCTAGTTGCTGTATGTGGGACTCGGCCTCAGGATGGACGGAGAAGTGGTGCCTCGATGCGCACCCGGGATCCGAACCCGGGCCACCAGCATTGCAGCGCGCGCACTTAACCACCAAGCCACAGGGCCGGCCCGTGATATCTCATTATGGTTTTTAAATTGAGATATAGTTGACACATAACATTATGTTAGTTTCAGGTGTACAGCATAACGATTCCATATTTGTACATATTGTAAAATGGTCACCACAGTAAGTCTAGTTAACATCCATCACCACACATAGTTACAAATGTTTTTTTTTCTTGTGATAAGAACTTTTAAGATCTACTCATTGTGGCTTTGATTTGCGTTTCCCTGATGATTAGTGATGTTGAACACCTTTTCATGTACCTATTGGCCATCTGTATGTCTTTGGAAAAATTTCTATTTTGTTCCTCTGCCCATTTTTTAGTCGGATTGTTTTTTTTTGCCTTGAGTTGTATGAGTTCTTTATATATTTTGGATATTAACCCCTTATTAGATGAATGATTTGCAAATATTTCTCCCGTTCAGTAGGTTGCCTTTTTATTTTGTTGATAGTTACCTTTGCTGTGCAGAAGCTTTCTAGTTTGATAAAAAGTAGTCCTTCTTGTTTACTTTTGCTTTTGGTGTCAAATCCAAAAAATCATCCCCAAGACCGATGTCAAGGAGCTGACCACCTATGTTTTTTTATAGGAGCTTTGTGGTTTCAGGTCTTATGTTCAAATCTTTAATCCAATTTGAGTTGATTTTTGTGCACAGTGTAAGACAGTGGTCCAGTTTCATTCTTTTGCCTGTGGCTGTCCAGTTTTCCCAACACCATTTATTGAAGAGCCTGTCCTTTCCTCATTGTGTATTCTTGGCTCCTTTGTCGTAAATTAATTGACCATACATGCATGGGTTTGTTTCTGGGCTCACAAGGATCTTCCTGCACCACCCTTTGTTCTGTTAACATCACCCCAGCAAGGTCGGAGGCAGGGATGGGCCGGGCTTCCAGACCTTCCCTCAGCAAGTCTGCTCGAAACCCTCCCATCTCCCTCCCCACCTGGGATGCAGCCTTAGTGTGCTTGGTCTTGAAATTCTTTCCACTGTGACCGGCAAGATGAGCACATCTCACCCGTAATGAGCACTTAGACGGAAAGCAGCTGGTGACTGTTGTCCACAATGCGGGTGCTAGGAGGGCTCCTCTGCCACTAGAAGCAGAGGCCAGTTGTGCCCGGACGTAGGAGCACTGAGGTTAGACCCACTGGGCTGCCCAGCAGCCACGTGGAACCTGGGCCACTTTCCCTCCACACAGGCTGCCCTTCTTTCTTTGCTTACGGGTGTCCCATGTTACCACTCCCAGGGTCCTGGCAGAGGCCTTGGCACTGATCTCTCCCGCACTTTAAAATTTAGCCCTTCCATGCCCCCTGGGCAGCTGCCGCCCAGCCAGCCCTTTCCCAGCTGTCAGGGCCCTGGCCGACCGGTAGAAAAGGGAGGCAGCTGCTCGCCTGGCTCAGTGTGGTGAGGGATGTTTTCTCCACACTCCTTCCCCACTTCCTGCCCCCACTACCCACGCTCCCTGACCTGAAATTTGTACCGGAGTTAGAAATCCACTCCTGCAGGGTATTTCGCTTGGGTCATAGAATTATCAATCCCTAGCGCAAATTAATCAATAAGACCATTCACCACACAGGAGCATGTGAAGAACAAATGAGACAGGATGAGGCGGTCCATTTGGGCACGGCCGCCTTAGGGTGGTGGTGGTGGGCACTGGGATGGGGGTCAGCAGGGTTCCCAGCTCAGCTCTTCTGCTCCTCAACCGCATGATTTGGGGCAAGTCGCTTGACTTTCAGCCTCTGTATCTCCATCTGTGAAAGAGAGACAACCCCAGGTCTTCTTTACAAAGTGGCTGGCTGCCAGCCATTAGTACTCTTTGAAGTGGCAAATAGCTTTGTAAACTGTGAAGAACTTCACAAATGTAAATCACACATAAGCTATGAAGCCATCTCTAAAAGCAGTTCTTTTTCTTTTTTAAAGGGAGGGGATGTGGGTGTGGGAAATCAGGTCTGGGTGGGATGGCTGTGCAGGGCTGAGCAGGTAAGGGATTGCAGGAGGTCACTGCCCAGGTGCCCCAGAACCTGGGTGACAAAGACCACAATGGGGCAGGAGGAAGGAAAACAAACACGATTTTTCTTCTCAGCAATTGCATTTGGGGCCAGGCCCAGTCAGGCCTTGGTTAGGGTGGAGGCCAAGGAGCCCTCATGGATTAACGAGTTCCAGGGGCAACCGGGAATTCAGCTTCGTCTAAAGTGTCCATTGAATCAGGCCAGTGAGTCATCTGTTTGGTGGGATCTCCAAGGTGCAGCGGCCTGGCAGCCTCCCTGGGAGGGCGGCAGTGGCTCCGTTTCCACCACGGTGGCAGTGCTCCACTGGGTATGCTGGAAACCACCCAGGCTGCAGAGGCCACGTGCCTCCAGGCACCCTGCTGGCTTTTAGAAAATTTTTTTGAATTATAAAACTAATAGTCATTGTAGGAAAAAGTTAAGTATAAAAAATAAAATTAAAAATGATCCATACGCCTCTCTCTCAAGATAACCATCAATATCTTCGTGGCGTTCTTCCTTCTGCACAGGTTGTATGAGTCAGGTTAGACGAGGCCATGCTGAGGTAACACACAACCGCCACATGACCCCCCAAGGCCAAGGTCCCATCACTGCCCACTGAATTCACCCCTCCTTTGCTGCTTCTCACGTCCTGGCTCTTAAAGGCAATTGAGATTGGAAACCTTGACATTTTTATCACTAACTATGGTGTTGGGTGTTGCTTTAAGTTAGATAGTCTTTTATCATGATAGGCATCAGCCTCTTTTTTGTTTTTTAAGCTTTTTAAGAGTCATCAGAACTAGGTGTTGACTTTTATTGAATGCTTCTTTGACTCTGTTGAGTTTTTTCTTATTTGCCCTGTTACACTTTTAAAAGCATAGGAAAAACTGGGCATTCCTGTTCTCCTTGTTTTATAGGTTTTATCATCCATCTGCTTTTAAAATGTCCAAGGGAGAAAGAAAGAAAAAACTCACCAAGGCCCAGATTTCAGAGCACTAAGTTAGAGAGAAGAGTTAGGAAGTAACAGGCTATTCACGAGAAGGCACTTTGTGTTCAGATAATTGTTCAACCACTCAATCATTTAGAATCACCAGTTCTGCTCTGAAAATGGGAATTTCGTTTTTGATGAGGGGTGAACTGGGGCTATGACGTGCGTGCTTGGTGCCGTCATTCAGTGACCTAACTTGACAGATGTCACTGTCCAGCCAGAACGCTCGGCCGGGAAGGACGCCTGCTCTGTGAGGCCACCTCCACGTTGTGCTTAGTGAGCCACGAGGGCTGTTTGGGCCCAGGGGCCCGGGTGACTTCTGGAAGCCCAGAGTGAGCGTGTGGGGCTGAACCAGCCACAATGGGTGGTCATGGTGCTTTTTTCTCTCCCCAGAACTGTCTCAACAAACAGCAGCTCCTCACGGCCATCCGGCAGCTGCAGCAGCTGCTGAAGGGCCAGGAGACGCGCTTCGCCGAGGGCATCCGCCACATGAAGAGCCGGCTGGCCGCGCTGCAGAACTCTGTGAACAGAGTGGGCCCCGACGCCCCCCCCGGTGGGTCCCCACATCGGCACCCTGAGTGGGGCCGCAGGACACCCAGGCCCTTCACCTGCGGGTCCTCTCCCCATCCCGACCTGCCCCCCCACCGTGTCTCACAGTGGATTCCCAGGCCTTTCCCTGCCTCACCCTCCCTCCGGGGCCCATTTTTTAACTCTGGCTGGTAGGGGGTGCGAGGTGAGTGGGTTGAAAAAGCTTCTGCCAGCTCTCCTCCCCGCTGTCTGAATGTCACCCATTTCCTCTTAGACCATCGCGTTCCAGGCTTAACAACTCGCATGTCTACATATTGTCTTTACAGAGTTGTCGAAAGGCACCACTTTTAGAGCAGGAGCTGCTTTGCCCTTCCCTGTCCCCACCCAGGTAGACCCCAATTGGCTCCATTTTTTTTTTTTTTTGACTCGATAGACTATTTTTTAGAGCAGTTTTAGTTTCACAGCAAAATTCATCAGGAAGCACACAGGGTTCCCAGGTACACCCTCCCTGAACACACATACAACCTCCTCACCATCAACGCCCCGCACCAGTGTGGCACGCCTGGTACAGTCCATGAACCAACATTGGCTTCAGTTTTTCAGGCCTGAAAATTAGTCTGTGACATGAGTCCCCCATTAGTGCCAGTGGGGTGGGAGGGAGGGGCTACTAACGGCAAGTCCCATTTGTCTGGTGAGGTTACAGTGGGCCCCCCCCGACTCCCTTCTCTGAGGGAGGACTCGGACAGACACTGGGGCATTTTCCTGGTTGTCCCAGTAATGGCTCTCCCACTGCCAAGCCCCAGAAATGGGCAGCTGGGTTTCCTCTGGCTTCTCCTCGGGGTGATGGGGGTCGGAGGCAGGACGTCACCTTGTTCGTTCTAAGTCATGAGTCTACGGAATATCTGAGGTCATTTCCTCACTTAAGACACATTCATCAAGGGCCTTCTTTGCTGTGTGAGATGAAGTTTCCTGGGAAGGCGTTGGATTTCCTACCTGAAAAGGAAATTATGGTAGCAAGTCCAGAGTCTCAACAGCCCTGAGGCGACTCCTGTTTTCCTTGGCTCCTCCGGTGCAGAACCAGGCCTACCCGCCAAACCTCCTCACACTTTCCAGGCGTCGTGAGGCCCCAGCCCTTGGTGGGGCTCATCACAGCCAGACTCCGAGAGGCAAGCAGGACATCCTTCCTTTCTGCTACAGATGGGGATACTGAGGCCAAGAGAAGTGAGTTAGCAGTAGCAGGTCCCAGATCTGGTAATTTTTTTTCCTGCTAGAGGCTCAACTCCAAAGATCCTTTCTGTTTTCATGGGATCAGAGCTGCCTACAGTCCTTGGGAGTTTCAAAGAAGAATCTGCAGGACATAATTTATAAAACTGCCCTGCTCGTGTTAGGGGCCTCTGCCCACTAGTACAGACAGAAAGGTAGCTATTGTTAAATTGCTAATCCTCTTATCCCCAGATTCAGGGTCTTTCTTCCCTGAACCATGCAAGATTTTCTAAAGTGGCCAATTCTCTTTTTAAAAAATTGCCACTGTGCATTGTGTTTCTCCCATGTGTTGGACATGGGTTGGGGGGGGGGGGCGGCGAGAAGAGGGTGCAGGCAGCTGTCAGGATCCTGCCTGTGCCCGGGGGAAAGCCAGAAGCTTGCCCCAGATCAAATTACAGGTAGTGGGAAAATTATCTTTTGCTTTTTTTTTTTTTAAGGCCATTTGCTGGGAGTCAGGAAGGATAATTTCTAGTCCTGCAGAATTCTTGGCCTTCCTCTTTCTGGCTTCTGTTCTGAGTATCTCCCTCCTGTTTTCCCGGCCTTTCTTTCCGGGGAACGTCACGACTGATCGGCTTCAGGGCTTATCCAGGCAGCCCCGTTCCCTTCCTGTCCCCAAATCACCAGGCTTGCTTCACCGCTGACCTCATTCCTTACATGTTAACCTCATTCCGGAAGGTGCAGGAACCTTCCCTGTGGCCCTGTAGACTCACCAGGATGTGCTCATAGTGAAATGAACCAGCCAAGGGGCACATCCTTCCAACGGACAGAAGCCTTTGGCTCCCATTTGGGAAGTGACTGCAAACTGGTTTTTAATTAATCTGTATCCAGTCTTTAGTCCTGCTAACATTCATTGAGCACCTGCCATTGCCAGATACGCTCAACCTCTTCAGGTACGAGTGACCTGTGAGTTGCTCCAGTAGGTACTTTTCTTTTTTGAGAGTTTTAAAGATTTCTCATCCCCAAAGAGACACTACTCCTTTCTCCTAAAGCATTTGAAATCCTATTCAGCACAATAAAGTAGTCGATTTTTAAAAAGAACTATAAAGTCATTTATTTGCAGGGAGTGAGGCAGCAACCTGGGAGCGCCCGACCTTCGGGCCGGGGCTGACGTTCGCTTCCTTCTCACAAGGTTCTAACCGCTGGGTGCGGAGTGGGAGGTTTGCTAAAGGAGCGTGATGCAGCAACGGCCACATGTTCCCAGTAACCCTAGGGCACTGAGATACCCAGAGGGGCCGGCTCCTGCCCCTCTCCCCGGGCCAGGCTGCCACGGCTGCTGCAGGAAGGACACAGGGGGGCTATGGGGGCAGAGCCACAGCAGCCTGCTGCTGCCTCTGAGCAGTGTGTGGGCAGACGGTCCCCGAGTGAGGGATGCTGAGTGATTCTTTCCCTCGCTGCAGCCTGCACAGTTGAAGCAACAGCGTTGTTTTCATCTAACTCCTTTTTACAAATGACACTTGGAACTTACTTTAAAGTGTTTTGGAAGTACCTCTGAATTTCCAACTAAACGAACTCCAACCCCAGCCTATCCCGACTTTGGGCATTCATTCTCTCATTAAACAAGCGCCCGCCTTGTGTGGCCCTCAGCTGCGGGTAGAGGAGGAATGGGAGCTTCTCCTCTGTCTCTCTGCAGCCCACGGCGGTCCTTCAGGAAATCTAGTTGGTTCTGCCTTCACAGCACAGCCAGGGTTCAAGCCACCTGTCTCCACTCGCAGCTCCCGGCTGGTTTGAGCCGCCTCCCTCATGCCCCTGGGTTCTGCTTCCCTTCCTGTCCGCTCTCCCACTTGACACTGGACACTCAAGCTGTAGCCAGTGGCGCTGTTAATGTACAAGTTGGTTGCTTCATGCCTCGCTCAAACCCTCTGATGGCCCCGTCTCATGCAGAGAGCAAGTTGCACGGCCTTTTCTTTCCTTTCCCATGCCCTGTGCAGACTGCTCTCTCTCGCCCTCTGGTGCCTCTCTGACTTCATCCCCAACTACTTTCCACTCACCGCAGTCACCATGGTCTCCTTGACGTTCCTCAGACCTGCCAGGCACACTCCCACCTCAGGGCCTTTGCACTGGCTTGTTCCCTCAGTCTCCCTCAGCTATCTGCATGGTTATGCCATCACCTTCTTCAACTCTGCTCCAGTGAGGCAACCCTGACCACCTATTCACAATGGCACCCCTCCTCTGGCATCCCCAGCACCCTACCCTACTTTCATTTTCTACATGCCACTTATCACATTCTGCCATTTGCTTATGGATCTCTGTTATCAATTGTCTCCCCTGCTAGAAGGGGCTTCCTGAAAGCTGGGTTTTATCTATTTTGTTCACTGATTATCCCAAGCACCTAATACAGTGCCTGGCACTTAGTAAGGACTCAATAAATAATTTTTCATTCATTCATTTGGTCAAGAATTTCTTATTGAGCACTCACTCTGTGCCAGGCACCGGGCTGGTGCCGGGGATGCAGCAGGCACACAAGGCCAGGCGTCATCCCTGCCCTCTCGAGCTGCATTCTGAGGGAGGAGACTGACAGCAAACGTGGAAACAAACACGTCAATAAGATATCTCCAAGGGTTACAAAGGCTAGGAAGAAAGCAAAGTGAGCTCATAGGTTAGAGAGTGTCTTGAGGAGGTGTTAGCTAAGCCTGGTGGTCAGAGAACATTCTGGGAGGTGGTGGCATTCAATTTGAGACCTGAAGAGTGAGGAGGAGCCAAAGATGAGAAGTTCTGGGGAGAGAACATTCCAGGCAGACAGAAGGGCAAAAGCCAAGGCCTGGAGGTGGGGCCGAGGCCGACCTGTTAGGAGACCTGAGGAAACCCAGAGTGGCTGGAGCTCCGAGAAAGCAGCACCAGTGGGTGGGTCAGCCACCCCGGCGGGGAGTCCCAGCTCTGACCCTCTCTCGCTGTGAGGCCCCGAGCACAACACTCGGTGTCTCTGAGCCGCGGTCTCCCCATCTTTCACTAAGCGGGCATGTATTACCCATGCCCAAGAGTGCTTTGAGGATTCGATGAGACATTGCATTTAACACGTCCAGCCCGGTGCACAGCCTGGAGTAGGCCCTTAACAGAGGGGCACTTACAGATGAGAAGCCTTGTAATTGAGAGCAATGTCTAAATAGCTCTGAGCCTTCCTTTTCTCTTACAGTTTCCTGCCCTGCTCTGAACGCCCCTCCAGATGGCAAAAAGTTTGGAAGCAAGTATTTAGTGGATCATGAAGTCCATTTTACCTGCAACCCTGGGTTCCGGCTGGTTGGGCCCAGCAGCGTGGTGTGTCTTCCCAATGGCACCTGGACGGAGGAGCAGCCCCACTGTAAAGGTACGTCCCTCCTTCCCATCCCCCTGCGCTGGACCCATTGAAGCCCCACAGGGGTCTGCTGGATAGAAAGGGTCATTCTGTGGGACACTTTCTGCCTGATCGCTCCACCATTCCTCAACCGCAGAACAGTGGCCGTTGTGTCTGATGACTCACCTCCACGCCAGGCCTGGGCTGGCCTCTATCCGCATGAGCTCACTAAACCCTCCCAACAATTTAGTCTTGTTGTGCATATGGGGAAACCGAGGTACAGAGAGGTGAAGGGACTTGCCCAAGGCCACACAGCTGGGGGACAGGCTGAGCTGATTCAAACCCAGACGCTCTGACCCCAGAGTCTATGGGGGAGGTCCTCCAGGGAAGCGTTCCTCGTGGCTGCTCCTTCCTGGGGCTGCAGTTTGTTTGTGAGGCTGTTAGTGACCTGTAGGGTTAAGGAAATGCCTCAGGTGTCCTTTGTGTCTGCTTTGGGACTTAGTGTGGACGGCTCCAGGAGAGACCATTGGGATGAGAGGGAGGCATGAAAAGGCTAGGCTTGAAAACAGTACTTTCTTGATGTAGAGGAAAATGAGACTTGGCACGCATAGTGTGTTGGCTTTTCAAAAATCTATGGTCAAAAAATCATGCATACCAGACATTTTTAGAGCAGGGTTCATGCGACGTCTGCTGGGGCAGAATGTCCATGATTTTAGCCCAAGAGTTGAAGGAGAAATGTAAATATTCCATAAGTAAGTAGGTTGTGAAGAACAGCATGGAGAGGTCTTTGAATGCATAAAATAACTTGAAAACATAAAGGAACATCAGAAAATATGCCATCTCTAAAGATGAGTGTGGACTGACGTGAGAAGCACAGGGCAACCAGAACCACAGTCATGGAGCTAGACTTCCGTTTCCCATTTCCTGGGAAGACCAATGGTTCAAAGGTCTAATGGTTCTGGCTCTCAGACCAGGCTGAGAACCAACCAGGAAATATAAGCCGTGTAACACGCAAACACACCAGGGGAAATGCCAGTGTCTGGATTTACCCTTGACCTTGAAAGATCTCCATCCGGGTTAAGCACCTTGTGGGTGATAAACTGGCAGCAAAGGGGGAGCCTAATGACATTTTATTGTCATTGCTTTGGGTATCTGTATTTTTAACTTACAGATTGAGTTACAGACCCCAGTTGATTTCTTTCTTAGAGCACTCAGCTGCCTCTGATGGCCACATCATCCTCCACCACAAACTGTGCGGATAAGGTCTTCTGATCTCCCCTTGTCTCTGGGCCATCTCTCTGGGGTTGGAGTTGGGGGCAGTTGGCCGCATGCTCACTTCCTTTGACCCGAGTGCTGCCATGCTGCTCTTCAGAAGGGCTGCACCAGCCCGGGCTCCCTGGCAGTGCTGCGGGGAGAAACACATTTTTACCCAGGTGTGTAGCTCAGGGATTGTCCACGTATTCTGTCCTCGGTGGTTATATCCATGTAGAGTGAGCATCATGAGGTTTAAATGCAAAGATGAGTTGGTCAGAGAGCTGAAAGAATGCATTTTTAGGTAGATAGGTTAGAAACATCAGAGGCTCAGGAACATAGTCTTGAGAAATGGCTTGGGCAAAGGAACACGCAGTTGCTTGACAAAGGTAGGGACGCAAAGCGCTCCCCACGGCCCAGCTCCATCTCAGCAGCTTGAAGAGGATGCCTTCCCAGAGGATCCTGGGCATGTCTGCCCGCTTCCCTCTTGAACTTGTACGCATCAGTTAGGTATGGGTGCCTCGCCTCCCTGCAGCAGGACCCCTTTAATGGAAAAGAGGGTCCCACTGTATCATGACTTGTGTGCTGGGGTTCTCAAACTTTCAGGTGCTCTAGAGTCACCTAGAAAGCTTGTAAAAGGCAGGCTCTGAAGCCTCAACAGATCTACTGAGTCGGGTGAGATCTTTCTAGATCAGACTTGGGAAATCTGCATTTTTAGTATGACTCTGATATTATCTAAATTTTGAGAAACACCATTTTCTAGGTTCTTGTCACCGCCAGCAGCAGAAAGGAATTGAAAATTTTGAAGTGCTGATGTATTTTGGGTCCTAACCAATCAGAATGGCTGCCTGCCGTAAGCCAACGTCAACAAGTAGGCCATGTGCTGACTAAGCGTGTCAGCCCTGGCCGGGTGAGACGTACCTGTGCGTGCTCACTTCCACCTGCACTGATGTTTTGGGAAGGGAAGGCCAAGCTGGCCCTTACAAGGATCAGGGTGCCTGTCCCCCTGAGCAGTCCCCTTTCCTGAGATGTGAAGCCAGACTTTCCCTGGAGGACCACTGCCAAGAGTGGCCAGCATCTCCTGACCTTTCCCATTGTCTAACCCAGTGCTCCTCCTGATTCTCACCCTTGAACTTACCAGCTCATTCCAGATTTGCTGTGTTCTTTGTCTCCCTTCTCCCTTAGCCTCCTTCCTGGCCATTGGTCTTTCTTCCCTGACCTCCATGCCAGAGGACCACTTGGTGCAGCCCACCCTGGACTTCCCCTAGGGCCACATTTACTATCTAAAATCTGAGAAGGATTGGTTCAGGGAACAAGGCGACCAGGTGACCAGTCCATGCTGAAATCTTAGATGGATATTTTTCATCTCTTTAAGTGTAAACTGGGCAGGGGGGTTTACACCACCTTTGGTGGTGATGGAACAAAAACACTTATGTGTCACAGCCACGGGGCTCAACTAGCTGCTGGCCATGACCTCTCCCCAAGTTAGTAGACGGTGCCTGGGTTGACACTTCTGTTCTCAGCAGGAATTTATCTGATGAATGGGTGCTGTCTCTAGTAAGGTGCCACCCAAGCCTGTCAAGAGGGAGAAACGGTGCTTCTATCTGCTATTTGGTGATCAACTGTGACATTATTAACAGTGTGGGCAGGACATGGCTGGAGTTCAATAGTCCAGTGGACACCCCCCCCCCAACTCAGGGTGGTTCTAGAATCTTATCAGCAGCTATCATGTGCATCCACTTCATTTTCCATATCAGCAGTCTTAGTCACTGTGTGTTGTGACCACAGTGGGGGAAAATAATCTTAATCACGGGATTCATTTCAAGACTCAAAATGTCAGTGTCCATGAAAAATTTGGCAGCTTGGTAATAACCGCCCCTCACCCCATCCCCAGTCAACTGCTTGGAAAGAAGGTGATGAACCCAACTTAGCATGAAAGGAAATTACACATAATTGCGCCATTAAAAAACCAAGCGGGCAGAGGTAGGCTCCAGAACTCCAGAATGGAAAGCAGCCACTTGGCTTCCTGGATTATTTCCCTTTTATCCCTTTCTTTCTCGGAAGGGTGTGTTTTTAAGATTTGAAGTTTTCTGAATTGGAGGAACCATAGCCACAGGCCTTGTCCCTTTGACAACATGGGTAACCAAAGAGAAAACTTGAGAGAAATAAATCCGTTTGTCCCTTACCACTATGCTGGTAAAAAAGAATGGTTTTTATCAGTCATCCCCGCCCCCTCCCTTTTTATTAACCTTCATTCATTCATTCAGCTAATTTTCATTGAGCACCATCTATGCACAAAGTATTGTGCCAAGTGCCAGGGATTCAACACTGAATCTAAAGACACTGCCCAACCTCGTGCAGCTCACATTCTAAGGTGGAGGCAGTAAAACAGGTAACCAAACACAAAGGTCAATGAATAGACATTGTGGTCAGTGCTTTGAAGGGATCTAACAAGGGACTGAGAATAAATACCATGGGGACGAGGAACAGTTGGGGGCAACAATGATGCTGAGACTGAAGGGATGAGTGGGATCTAGTCATGTGGCGATCAGGCGGGTGGGCGGCATGGGGAAGGTGCCATTCCAGGAAGAGGGAGTAACATGTGCAAAGGCCCTGAAGAAGGGAAGAATTTGGCACGTTTGAAGAAATGAAAAGATAAAATATAAAAATGAAAATTCCACCTTGTTGCTGGAGCAGTGTGTGAGCTGAGCGAGCAAGGCAAAGTAGAGAGACACCCATCCAGTTCGTGAAGACACGGAGGCCATGCAGGCAGTAGGATTTTAGTTCCAAGCATAATAAACAGGTTTAATAAAGAGGTTTAAGAAGTGGTAATCGGATGTGTGTGTTGCTGCTGTGTAGAGAGTGCACTGGAGGCAACAAGAACGGGAGCCGTGAAGCCACTGCAGCGGCTGTTGGAGAAGTCCAGGGGAGGGATATGGCAGTGGAGATTGAAAGTAGAGTTAGAGACAGAACTCCTGGAGCTTGCTGCTATCCCATGTGGGCTGTGAGCACGGAAGAGAAGTCAAGGCTCCCAGACTCCGGCTTGGGTGATGGACTGCATGGTGTCCCTTACAGAGATAATGAAGACTGAGCGACAGATGTAGGTTTCTTTTTAAACAATCTGTGTGGGAGTCATTGGTCAGACTTCCATTTTGGACACGTTCAGTTAAAATGTCTGTGTCACATCCCAGTGGAGATCTGTTAATTCAACCTGTGGAGATCCTGGAGCAGAACACTGTGCACCGGTTATCTATCCCAAGGGAGCAGACACAGTGCGCTGGTTACCAATCCCAGCAAGGATTCCAGACACTTCTGCCCACTGTGTCTTGGTATTGGAGTCACCAAGGAAAACACAATGAGGTTGGGCCCTGGATGGAAGGGCGCTTCACTCACATAGAGGAGAGACAGAGCAAGATCAGCTTCAGTGGTGGGTGTCGGACACGTGGCCAGTGGGTCTCTCTCCACAGCTGACACAGGGCAAATCGCCTGTATGTACCCCTCTCATGCGGCAATGGAAGGACCCCAACCCCTTCCCCATGGAGTCTGAAATACTGAAGGCTGAGGGTGTGCCCGAGGGCTACCTTTTGTTCTGCTTACAACATACACATGTAAGCAGAACAAAAGAGTGCTCATTGAGCATGCAACAGGGAAAGATATTCCCACACAAGGTGTATGCCCGCCACAGGCTGTGTGGCCCTTCATCTCATGTTGAGGAAGTGCTCCAGGCCCAGGGCCCATTCTTATTTGGCTGAGTGAGGGTGGAAAGACCACATGCATGAGGCTGCCTTTCCCAACAGAGATGTCGGGTGGATGGACAGAAAGTCTGGAGCTCAAGGGTGAAGGAGGGTCAGTTGGGAGTTATATACGCAGTTGGGAGTTATTGGCATAACAGTATTTGAATCCGTGGACGGTGACGAGCACCCGAGAGGAGAGGGTAGAGATAGAAAAGAAGTGGCTCAGAATCGAGACCCAAGGGGCCGTGAGATGTCAGATGGAGGAGGGCAGGGGAGACAGAAGGGTCCGCAGAGACAAAACACGAGGAGACTGTGGAAAAGCTGGGTCGTGGCACCGGGCTGGGTGTCTGGAACGTTATTTTGCGTCAGAAGAGAGCACAGCTCCAGTCTACTCACCGTCTGTGTCATGAGGCCTTTCCTCAGACACCTTTTAGAAAGGATTTGAGTAGAAAGAGCTGCCTTTGGTATAGTAGCCGCTTAATAAATAGTTACTGAGTAACTCACTGGCAGGCTGATTTACCAAATGATTGAATGAATGAATGAATGAGGAATTACATTTAAAAACTATGAATTTCCTTCCAGACTTTTATCTAAGCATATATATGCAAGTTTTACATATTCAGTATCATCTGTGTATAGGTATTAACACAAGCAAATCTCCATTAACTCTTCTTTCTAAACAAAACTTTTAATGATTATGAAGCACTTCCTCATAAGGGCTCTTCTATACTTTACTTAACTATTCCTCTATTGTTTCCAAGTTTGCATAATCATAAATTATGCCAAGACAAGCAATCTAAAACATTTTTCATTATGGAGAACTTCAAACACATGAAAGTAGAAAGAATAGTATAATGACCCCCATGTACTCATAACCCAATAATTATCGACACAGCAAATTCCTTAATATCATTAAATACCTGGTCAGAGTAAACATTTCTCCAATTATCGCACATATTTTTAACACTGTGTTTGAACCAGGGTCCAGATAAGTTGCATACTTTTACAATTGGTTGATATGTCTCTTACATCTTTATTAAATATTAAATTAGTCTATTAAATAGTCTTCTTCCCCACCGCCATGTCATTCCTTTGCAGTTTATTTGTTGAAGAAAGTGGGTTGTTTCCCACAGACTCGATTTTGCTAATAACTGCGTCCCTGTGGGGTCATTTAACATGATCTTCTGGTCTCTGTATTTCTTATAACTCTGGTAGCTAACTCCAGAGGCTTGATCAGATTCAGGTGAGACTTTTGTTTTGTTTGGGCAAGACTGTCAGTCATCTCTTTTGTGATGCTGCACCTTGGTGAGCAACACGGCCATCCTCATGTGGACATCTCTCTAGTCGATTCCTTAAGAGGGACTCAGGGGGGCAGTTCCCCGACTTCTTCCACATTCAGACAGTGTGCAGATTTACCACTGGATGTCAGTTTGTTTGGACATAAAATACCTGTCTCCCGTTTTCTTTTCTTGTGTATCTTAAACGTGTTCCTCTATGTCTTCTGTTTTAACTGATACCATTGTAGCCATTGTAAGTATCTTGGTCTTTTTGCCTGGAGGCCCAAAGGATTTTTCCTTTTTCTTTAAAATCCAATAATTTTATTAGGATCTGTCTCAGTACTGGCCTTCCTGGGCCAATTTTCCCAGGTGTAGGGTTCATCTTTTCAATAGGAAGTTTCAGTTGTTGGAGCAGTCTGGCCCCCAGGAATTCTCAAACTTTCTAGGACAAAACCTGAATATTGAGGAGGCTCTAATGGAAGGAGAATCTAAATTGAACCCAACAAGGAAAATAGGGGCAAATGAAAGAGATGGTCCAGAGAAAAGTGGGAGAGGAGAGCAAAATGTCAGAGCTGTAGAAGTGTGAGCACCACGTCGGAAACCACAGAAGTGGGAGACTGAGAGTCAGGAAGTTAGAAAAGCCATATGGGAAAACTTGTTTCACTTAAATATAAGTAACAGAAAAGGACTCTTGTCAAATCCCTTACCAATATTATAAGAAAAAATAAAATAGTCTATATAGACAATGAAGAAATGCCAGAAAGATGTGCCCATAAAACAGATGAAAACCGTAACCTAGTATTTCCAAACAAGCTGAAAGAAGTTTTTAAAAGACAAAAAAATTAGAAAACCTCAGAAATGAGATGATTGGAGAAATGGAAAATTGAAACGAGATGACAAAACGAATTAGAAATAAAAGAAAAAACATCAGATCACGCACGTAAAACACTTAGCTCAGTTCCCGGGAAGTAGTAGGTGCTCACCCAACAGGAGATTAAGACAGAATTACCATCCATGCTTTTGACTGCCAGCCTCTCCTGCAGCCTCTGCCAGTGCCCTCTTGACGGCTCATAGGTCGCTCTGCACTTAACTAAATGCCATAGCCTGGACAGGTGTGGACGTGATGACAACTGTACCTCACTCAGGACACAGATGGGATGCCAGGACTGGGCATGAGGCCAGGGAATGCTCCTGACAGCACATCAAGATAAGAAACAAAGAGGTCTGTACAGAGCCTGTGTAGAAATGAAAATCCTAGGCAACAAGATCCAGAGGGGGAGACAGCGCACAGGGTCCAGGGGCACCCATGCATTTCTCTGTGGAGCTTATGACCCCCACCCCACCCCCCCACTCACATCAGCCAGGCACGGCCAGGCCCAGTGCCTTCCACTGGAGGCCCAGTGGGGGAGAGACAATGGTGCTGGTCCCACTGTGGCCAGACTGAAAGATACAAGTGTTCACAGTTTTTGGCTGTCTGCCCACAACTTCATGGCCTAGTGGTCTGCCCACTTTCAGACTCCCCTGGTGAGCAATGATGGGGCTGGACAATGGGTAGAAACAGGAATTTCAAGCTCTGTGGCATTTGTATATGGTGTCATTCCAGACACATTCCTGGAAACAGGTCATCTGAAAGCAGAATGTATAGGGAGAGCGCAACCAGGTGGAGGTTACTGAGAAATTGAAATGGCTCCTTCCCCCTCATAAGCAGCATCTGGATGGTCTGGGTCCTTTCTGATAATAGAAACCATGTAACTGTCTACATAACATCCTAATCACGAGGAGGCTGAAGGGAAGACGAAGTGCCTGCCAACCCACCCACAGCCAGGCTGTTGTTCTCATCAGGAGCAAAGCACCTTTTTCTTCCTCTTGATAGACACAGCAGGACAGGATGCTCTTATGCCAACAGGAGATGTTTCCAGTTTTTTTCCCAAGATGCTGTGGTCAAGTCAGTGAACTGAAAAACCTCTCTCTGGTGGAAACGGCCTGTGTTCTGTGCATTAAAACTGGGCTTAAGGAATTCATAAGCTGATGTGGCCTGAGGTTTTTAAAAACTCATTTTTTCTCATTAGAAAATTTATAAACGCTGATTTTGGAAAAATAGAAGAGTACAAAAATGTGTAAATAAACAAAGAAAAATTACCTGTAATTCTACCACACAGAGAAAACCTGTTAAACTTTTAAATATGCATCTCTCTATCAATAGCTTTTCCATAGGACTGTTGCGTTTATGAGCAAGGAACATTTCCCTTTCCCACATTAAGAAAGAGAAACTTCCTTGCTCGCATAGGAAATGTTGAGCACAGGAAGGCTTCTGCGTGGGAATTTGGAGAGAGCTGATTTTCTCCATCTCTGGACATTCCGATGGGCCATCCCCCCCTCTTGAAACTCCACTGAATTGAGTTCTTGTTTAAAAGGTGTTCTACATACAGCAACTAGAAGGACGTGCAGCTATGACATACAACTATCTACTGGGGCTTTGGGGGAAAAAATAAATAAATAAAAATTAAAAAAAAAAAAACGGTGTTCTACCTGGGCTGATAGGGGCAGAGTTGGGGGGCAGTAGGGCTTGACTCAAAGGCAATGTGGGAACATGCCCACAGGTAGCTGACTCTGCCCGGCTACAGCTGTCTACACTTGGAAAATGCTGCCTCTGGGAGGAGCATGGCGGGGTGATGGACCAGCTCCCGCAGGCAGAGCTCCAGGTGGGCACAGTGTGTGCCTGGGTATGTGGTTTGCTGAATGGGGGGTGGGCTACATCTCAGCCCCCTTGCCCCCCTCCCAGCTCTTGCTTGTGGGCACAGTGGCAAGGGCAGAGTAGGGAGGTGGAAAGCTGGAGTCATCCTGCGATGTAAAGAAAGTTAACCTATCTTTGCTTTTGTTTGTTTGTTGTAGAATTGGAACTCACATACTTGTATTTGAAAATTATTTATTTTCCTAGATATCAGTGAATGCTCCAGCCAGCCTTGTCAAAATGGTGGGACATGTGTAGAAGGAATCAACCAGTACAAATGCATTTGTCCTCCAGGAAGGACTGGGAGCCGCTGTCAGCATCAGGCCCAGACTGGTACGTAGCTGCTGTGGGACTGGGTGAGGATGTTCCACCGCAGAGAGAGGAGGACCCTGGTGGTGGGCCACTAAATGCAGACAGGTGGGGAGCTCAGTTCCCCACCTGGAAACGTGGGCTTTTCATCCATTGATCCTACTGGTTCCTTGAGGTGGTTATTTGGGATGGAGTTTAGCTCTCTTGTGTAACCAGAGTTTTGATCATTCTTATGGAAGAAAATGCAAGTGGAAGGACTGACTCCCAACCTGAAAACTCCCCAGACTGGGAATTTGGCAGAGAAGTTCCCTTGCTGCCACCTTCGCTTGGTCGACAGTTCCTCTGCAGATCAGCAGAACAGCTTCTCCTTTCAAACGCTCCCATCGCATCCTGCAAAGTTATTATTATTGATACAGACCAAAGTATTTTCAGACCTGGATACTGGACATTTGACTGGTGATGAGGTTATTAGCCACATCTTGAGTCCCAATATATCCCCGGCCAGCAGGTCTAGAAGTCACATAGTGGCTATTTTTGCATATGGCAAGAAAATCCAATGATAAGGAATCCATGGGGGCTGGGTGGGGGTTCCCATACTATACTGCAACCAAAGTTTCTTATATAAAAAGTCAAATCCAAAAGACGTTCTGTTCCTTGGCCAGAAAAGCCTGGAGTGTCCTGTCTGGGCCTGTCTGGTCGTCTTGATTTCTGTGTGGAATCTCAGTGTGGGGAGGAGGAGTTGGTGGTTAGCATAGTGTCCAGAGAGGTGAAGCTTTGTCGATACTTGCTATCCTTGCATTGGACCCAGCCCAAGGTCAGTTTTAAATATTGCTCCCAGAGATTTGCTCCTTAACGTGTCTTGATTCTGTTCAACTGGGGCGCCTTCTCAGCATGAGGCCCTCCTCCCTGGGAGCCCAGAGGCCCCCTGACAGCTCCTGAGGCTGCTCTCCGTGAAAACAGAGGCCAGAGGCAGAACCTTCTTGGCAGCCCCACTGCCTCTCCTGCTCCCTACAAACAAGAAGGAAAAAGAAGTGGGCCCCCTTTCCACTCCAAATTTCTAGTCCTGGACACTGAGTGTTCTAAACCCCACGTTAGGGCTTCTGCTGTCAGGACCTTCAGGCAATTGTTCCTCAGGTCCAGGGGGCACTTTAGACCTAAAGTATCCCCATGACAGGCATCCCCACCAGGAAGGGGAAGGAGGGAGTGAGCAGGCACATCTGAAGTCAGCTCATGTCCTCACAGTATCCATGAACAGCCCAGCAAATGCCTGGGCTCTTGCTCACCTGGTCCCTCAGCCTGGAGCCTTCCTTATCAGCTCTGCCTATGTCTTTGCAGCTCCGGGAGGGAGCCTCTCTCTGATTACTTTTTTTTTTAATCCAGTCATCTTTTTTTTTCCTATCACAGTAAGATATACATAACAAAATTTACCATTTAAACTATTTTAAGTGTACAGTTCAGCGGCATGAGTACCTTCACATTATTGTGCAACCATCACCACCATCCATCTCCAGAACTTTTTTCCTATTGCAAAACTGAAACTCTCGCCCTTCAAACACTGATTCCTCATTCCCCCTCTCCCCAACCTCCCCCAACCACCACTCTGCTTTCTGTCTCTAAGAATCTGATATAAGTGGAATCATACAGTATGTGTCCCCTTGTGCAACTGATTCCTCTTATCACTCGTTTCTCTACAGTCTCCCCGAACCATATGAGAGTTCTCAATCCTTTGAAAACTTCGAAAAACTGACACTGTTTTTCTGATTAGAAAATTGATTTATGTTCTTGGTTGAAAAAAAAAAAAAGCTTAGACACTTTAGAAAAGTATAAAAAATACAACGAAGAAAAATCGTGTTTTAAACTCAACGGTTTTAAACTTCAGTGATCATTGTTAGCATTCTGGTGTTAAGCCTTTTTAAAAGTGAAAACGTGGATTTAACATCACTGCCGTCCTTCTCTGTGTGCAGTTGCGTGGCCTGTTTTTTCCATGCAACGTTATACGCCGGTGTGCTCCCTGCCCTCCGCCCCCTTTGGTGGGCCCTGGACCGTGTGCTGGGATTTTGGTTAATCGCTTGTCTCTCCTTTCCCTACTCCAGAGTAAGCTCTGTGAAGGGGCGCGCCCCCGTCTTGCTTCTCCTCCCGGCCCCTGCCCAAGGTCGGGCCCACGGCAGGTGCGCCAGGGCCCGGGCCTGAGGGTGTCTTCTCCCCGCAGCCGCCCCCGAGGGCAGCGTGGCCGGCGACCCCGCCTTCAGCCGCGCGCCGCGCTGCGCGCAGGTGGAGCGGACGCAGCACTGCAGCTGCGAGGCCGGATTCCACCTGAGCGGCGCCGCGGCCGGCGACAGCGTGTGCCAGGGTAGGCGCGGGCTGGGGGGGGCGCGGGGGCGCAGAGGCGGGAGGACGCCGGAGGGCGAGGGGCTCCCCCCCGCGGCCCCCTTGCTTCCGGGCGCACCCAGCCCTCGCGCCCAGGGTACAGGGGCAGGTGGGGCGGCTTCCTGGGCCCAGCTCAGACAGCCCCACCTACTTTGCGTTTTAGGTGAGTAACTGTTGACCTAATGGTTGCTAAGACGTAGACATCAGCGGTCAGAAGAATGCAAGACTGTAGAGAAAGCAGCCCAGGCTCGCCCCAATGTCAGAATCTGACAGGGTCTCCACCCAAGCCATGCTCACTCGTCTAGAAGAGCCTTGAGCCCCCTCACCCTCTCGATCTCGGCTGGAACCACATGGGCGGGCGGCGGGGAGGAGCTTGAACAGCAGACAGGCCCCGGAGCCGCGCAGGGGTCTGGGACTCATTCCCTGGGCCCCTCTCAGTTTCACTTTACTGACTGGCCCACTTTTGCTAACCTCTCCTGATTACCAAAGTTCCTTCTGAAGACAAGTCAAACCAGCGGGTTCAAGCCTGAGAATCAGTCAGTTGGTACTAACAGCATCATTTTACAGCAGCAGAAATGAGACCCTCTTAGGCCATGCCCAAAGATGAGGCCAAAGAAGAGGAGAGTTGACACAGGGCTGCGAACCAGGCCGGGAGTCTGGGTCTGCAGCCCGGAGCCCTGCTCCCAGGGCTGGCGGGCCTGATTCGCAGCCTCTGCAGGGTCTCCCCGGTTAGTCTTTGGCCATAGACAGAGGAGCCCACCTAGGGTCTACCATTACCAGCTCCCTCACGTCTCCCTTCAGCCCTCTGGGCCCGTGGCTTGGGAGGAAGGGGAGCATGCCTGCTCCTCTTCTGAGTGCTCTGCTGGGGATAGGGCTTCATGGCTGCACCAGACCCAGCCACTTAGCCACAGCTGTCAGAGATGGTGACACAGCTGCCATTGCCCCCAGGAATGGAGGCACAGCCGTCCTGGGTGGACACCCGCTGCATGGCTCCTGGAGTCATACTGGGCACTTCTGTCCCCAGATGTGAATGAATGCGAGCTCTACGGGCAGGAGGGGCGCCCCCGGCTCTGCATGCATGCCTGTGTGAACACCCCGGGCTCCTACCGCTGTGCCTGCCCCAGTGGATACCGGACCCTGGCCGACGGGAAGAGCTGTGAGGGTGAGTGAGACTGCAGCAGAGGCAGGCGTCTGTGGGGCTGGAGAGAGCCCAGCTGATACCAGACAATGCCTCTGAACTACTAGAGGAGAAGGAGAGAGGGCAGAGGACTCCTCGATGGGCTGACATGGAATGTGAGAGAAAAGAGGGTTCCCCAGTGACATCCTAGTGGGGCTCCACTACAGGGCTCAGAGTAGTGAGTAATCTGGGGAGAAGGCATCCAGATAGCCATCCATCCGTCCATCCATCCCACAAGTATTCGTGAAGGCCTGGGTAGGACTGTGTGGGGTTGGGAAGAAACCCAGCCTCCAGCTGGGGAACTCACATGTGAAGGGAGCAGAGAACTCATACAAAGGAGAAGGAGGATGTCTGTATGCGGCCTATGGGGTGAGGCTGAGTAGGAAGGCTTTCAGGAAGATTTGAGTCAAAGGGCGTGACAGTAGCCATGGAAGGAAGACTCTAGGGCACTTTGGCTGAGGAAGAGCAGATCTGAGAGAAGCGTTGTGACTGGTAACACCCATGCGTGCTCTCCAGCACGTCTGTAACCTGTCATACCCCGGGGAAGGAGGACAGGATCCCAGGGAGGGGAGTTCCCCAGCATGGTTCTGCAGCACTTCCGAAAGATCTGGATTTCAAACGGTTAAGGAAGACAGGGTTTCCTATTTTAAGAAGTGTTGGGTATTTGGAAAGCTCACCATGTGTGGAGCACCTCATTCCAGTTCCTGTCAGGGCCTTTCATGTGGCCCTGTCAGAGATGGAGGGGGCGTCGGGGGATCTTCACCCTCACTGGGTGTCCCGTGTTTCAGATGTCGATGAGTGTGTGAGCCCACAGCACGTGTGCCCCCGGGGGACCTTGTGCATCAACACCGGTGGAGGCTTCCAGTGCGTCAGCCCGGAGTGCCCCGAGGGCAGCAGCAACGTGAGCTACGTGAAGACATCTCCCTTGTGAGTATAGCCGGGGCCACCCGTGGCTGGGCACAAACATCCCTCACCCAGGCCTCCCAGGGTGGCTGGGCCGGATTCTTCCCAGAGGTTCTTGGGATAGGGTACAGTTATGTCCAAGGAAAGATGAAAGACAGGGAGCTGGGAGTCTGGCTTCTCTGAGCTTACTTAAGTGGTTGCATTTAAGGCACTGCTGCTTTGTGCAGTAAGAACCCAGTTTGCCCTGATAGGAGTGATGTTCCAAGGACTCCCCTGCTGACATGGAGGATGACGGCACTGTCAGGGAGGGCCACTGGAGGGAAGACCGCGGTGGTGACGTTATCAGGAGGCAGGTGTATATCACACAGATTTGGGAGAGGATCATTTTCACATGTTCACAGAGCTAGTAACTAGTAGACCCCAGTCACACTGCATATCCTGTACACTTGGCATTATATCACTCTGCTTTTCCTCTGGTACTGGGAAGTTCGACCTCTAGTAACCTCAGCACCTAATAGAGATTTTTTTTTTCCAAAATATGGAAGACAGGCCTTTAAGGAGAATAACTACAAGTATCACAAAGTCTATGTATTTTCTTCTGAAAAAGAGATCACAAGAGCCTTAGCATTGTCGTTAGAATGAATGACTTGACAAACTCAGATTCTTGAATGGCTGTTTGGGCTAGAGCAGATTAGAAGCAGCGAGGAAGTCAGTGGCAGTTATTCACTGAGAGTGAGGACGCCAGGACCTTCAAGAGTCACTGAGCGAAGGGACAGAGGGACCTGTATGTCATAGGCTTTGGGGACATCCCTGTTTAACAGCCAGATGTGATATTCAACCTGCATAACCGTGATGACTCGAGTCACCAAATATACTAAATGGCATCTGAGTATTATGCTGGGTAAGATAGAGAAGTATCAAAAACACTTCCACAAGACCCTGACCCTGGCTAAGGAGGACAGGGGTTCCTGCTTTAAGAATAAACATTGGGTGTTTGCAAGTTCACCACGTGGGGAGCACCACATTCCAGTTGCCAGCTAACTGCTGGGGTCCCGCTGTTACTGAGAGAGGTCTCAGCACATGTAGAAGGGGCATCTGGTTTGAATACCAGCACCATTGTTATTTAATCTTCCCCAGCTTTATATTTCTGGAAAAACTATAGTAACAGCATACATAAATATATATGCACACACACACACACATGCATACCTATACAGGTGGGTCAGGGGAGCCCCTCTGCCCTGGCCACGCCCGACACCAGCCACACTTACTTGCCTGTAGCTCCAGAGCACCTGTGGTGAGGGACCTGTAGCTGGGAAGGGTCACTTGGGTGATGGGGCAGACAAGCCAGGTCAGAGCAGGCCCTCCTGGGTTTCCCAAAGGCTGACTCCCTACATTTTGCCTCTCTGCTCCAGCCAGTGTGAGCGAAACCCCTGCCCCATGGACAGCAGACCCTGCCGCCATTTGCCCAAGACCATCTCCTTCCATTACCTTTCTCTGCCCTCCAATCTGAAGACACCCATCACGCTCTTCCGCATGGCCACGGCCTCAGCCCCTGGCCGACCTGGACCCAACAGCCTGCGGTTTGGGATCGTGGGAGGGAACAGCCGCGGCCACTTTGTGATGCAGCGCTCAGACCGGCAGACGGGGGAGCTGATCCTGATCCAGACCCTGGAGGGGCCTCAGACACTAGAGGTGGACGTTGACATGTCGGAATACCTGGACCGCTCCTTCCAGGCCAACCACGTGTCCAAGGTCACCATCTTCGTGTCCCCTTATGACTTCTAAGGGTGCCATGAGGGCACAGGGGTACAGAGATCTGGGCTCATTTCTCTTCCCCAAAGACACAGCTGTGGGCACTGACTGCGACAGACATCTCTCCCTAGCCCACCTGGCCCCTGCCCACCTGCTGTTCACCCAGGTTTCTAGGGCAGTGCTGCATGCTGTCCCATGGAGTGACACACAAGGGCAGCCACAAAACCCAAGCTGCTGCCATCACATGTTTTCCTCCTTTAAGGGCCTTCCCTTAGATTATGCACTAACTTTCTTGAATCTTTTTTACAGGGGAATGGGCAACTTTTCAAAATGCTGTGTGGATAGCATTGTGAGTTTGAACTAGCTGGGAGGGAAAAGCTCATGGTATGTGTCTGAAATGATTGTCAGTCCTCCTGTATTGTTATAGTCAAGCCTTGTTATGAAGTAGTTCTAGCCATGCTGAGGGCTCAGTCATGCCCTGTCCCTGTGGCACAGGGGGTGGGTCTCCTGCCACGACCCAGCATGTTGTTCTTGTCTGCATTCCCCTCTGTGACATGCCTGCCAGCCTTCTCATCAGAGAGCCACAGCAGGGCCTGGAACCCCCACGCAGATTCTTCTAGACAAAGGAACCAACATTAAAGCATAGATTCTGCCTGAATTAATTCCCTTTTGAGAAATCATATCTCAAAACATAGCCTGGTCTATAACTGGAGAAATAGTCTATTGCTCCCCCCTGCCCACCTGGCCTGTCCCTGAACATGAGCTAGCCTAGTTCCTTCTAGGAGAGGATACCTGGCTCTCTTCCTGTCTAGGCTGGATCCACTGGGGTAAAGGAATAAGAAAGAAAACACAGGTGATGCTAGGATTGCTCCACCAATAGAAATGTGGCTTGGCCAAATGGGAGATTGGTAAGGTGACATCTGGCCATGGAGAGTTCTAGAAAGTGCTTGAATTGCCTTCATTCCAGGGCCTTCTACTTCTGATAGAAGAGCCAAGGGATGATGCCCTCCAGGTGACTGAAGAAAGAAAACACTGGCTGGGGCTGGGAGTGGGGTGGGGAGGGGTAGGGGAGACCATTCATAGTTAAAACCTAGAAGCCCACTGAGCTCTGAGGAAGTTTCGGTATCCAAATATATGTTAATCTACTGGTGAGATTTCATCACACACATTTTATGTAAAAATTCTTTGTATTTGCCTCGGTATGAGATGGAACCAGAGGAAGTATGTTGCCAGTTTAGTGATCAAGCCCTATATCAAGGTGGTTTCTAGGACACCCATGCTTGTCCTATTTTGTCAGACAAAGGGTGAGAGAGTCAAGAGTTGCTTTGGCAATTTTTCTTCTCTTGACATCGGGCTCAGCTGTGATGTCACCAGCAACAGAACAAGGGCCCGCAAATCTGCTTTTCTGGGTTGTTACAAGACTTTATTAAAACTATCATTCAAAGCCTTGTGTTTCCAACTCGTGCTGTGACAGGTCAGAAGCCTGCCTGTACCCTGTGCAGAACACCAGATGGGAGACTCCAAGGGCCTGGCCGTGTTCCTGAAAGTGAGATTTCACAGCAGTGTGCTATTCCCTCCTGCTGGGGGCAGGGGTGGTTCGGAGGGACAAGCCTCTTACCTCCCAGCAGGTGAGGAGTGATTTTGGGGTCTACAGAACAGGTGCCCCATCTAACCTGGTATATAATGATGACTTGGATGCCAACCAGGCACAGTCGAAAGCAGTGGTTTGCATCACCGAGATCTGCCATCATCAAACCTGCTTCCCATTTATGAAATCCCACACTGGGACTGAGCCCCAGTCCCCACAGCACAAACATATGAATGTCTGACTGCTTGGGATTGTGGATTGTGGATTATGTCTGGGCCCTTCCTCCCTAGGTAATATCGTGTTCTCTATACCCTCTCAATTCACTTTCCCCTGTGGAAACCAACTTCTCCTTCGTCCTTTCAGAGCTCTAGTCTGTGCTAAGTCCGAGCAGCTAATAGTTAACAGGGATTAATTTGCATCCCCTTCAAGGTAATATAGTTTTATGTTCTTAGGCAGGGGGCTTTTAAAATTTTTATTATGCACAGTTGCAAACATATAGAAAAATAGAGAGACTAGTATAACGAACTCCACGTCGGATTCACCAGCTTCAATAATTAACACAATCTTTTTTCTTCTCTACTCTCACTCTACCCTATGATGATTTTGAAGTAGATCCCGGACATCGTATCACTTCATCTGTAAAGATTTCAGCATGTATCTCTAGACAATAAGGACTTTTTAAAAAGCATAACCTCAATACCAATCACACCTAAAAAATTAGCAATAATTCCTTAATACCTTCAAATATTCAGTCATTGTTCAAATTTCTGAGTGGCTCATGATTTGTTCATTTGAATCAGGTCCATGTTCTGAAATTTGTTGATATGCCTCTTAAGTTTCCTTTAATCTCACATTTCAGCCTATAATGGAATAACCTAGAGGCTTGTTAGAAGACAGAGTACTGGGTCCTTTGTCCTGTAGAATTTCTCACAGTCTGGGTTTTCCTGAGTGCATCTCTGTAGTGTCTTTTAACATGTTCCTCTGTCCTCTCTGTTTCTTAAATATTAGTAGTTATATCTAGAGATTTAATCGGAGTCCAGTTACATTTATTTTTGCAAGACTGCTTTATTGGTGGTGACAGGTACTTCCAGTGGGAGCCACATGATCTCTAGTTTTCTCTTTTCTGATATTAGCAGCCATTGATGATGATTGCATAGATCCATTACTTCTTTAGGGGTTGCAAATAATATTCTTAGTGCTTCGTTTATTAGCTGGCATACTTTATAAAGAGAAACTTCCTTTCATCAATTATTTGGTTACCCTGAGGTTTGGTTTGTATAGGAAAGGCAGGATAAATTCTTGACTTTTTCACCTTTGTCAGTTTCCAAGGTGCTTCCCAGTCATTTTTCAATGCTGTTCAGTGAGAGCTGTTTTCTTCTTTGAGTACAGTCTGGACTCATGGTTTAAACAGACTTGATGTATGTTTCAATCCACTGCAGTTATTTTCCTTACTGTTGGTCAAACTGTCCTATCTTTGGCTCTTGGGAATTGTTTCAAGTTGGCTGATTCCATTGATATGACCCTAGTGGTCTTTGATAGTTTCATAGTTATCTTGTATGACAAGAGGTTTCAACTCATCTTGTACATTTTATGCCACAGCCCTTAAGTCATCCAGTTTTCCCCAAGGATCCCTGGTTCCTTTTAGTGGGGAATGATAATTAGAGATCAAAATCTGGGTACTAGGAGTGCTTGTTGGTAGTGGTTTGGTCATTGTTTCTTGGTTTTAGTGCATATAGCTAGGAAATATGTGCATTTTTTTTTTTTAAAGAAGACACACTATGAGTTTATATTGATACTTCCAACTCAACTCAGGACTACTGGGTTTTTCATGTAACTTCACTGATCTTACATCCGCTCATCTTTCTCTCATTCTGAAAACCTCCTTCTCAAATTAAATGGTTTTAAATCCTCAGAATAACAATGCCAAAATTATCACAAAATATAATTACTGAAAACGGTTAAAATTTTCCTTTTGCAATTCTTTTTGTCCTTAGGGTTTATGCCATTAGGGATGTGCAGTCAAATTACTGTTTTAAAATAACTTGGAATAGTTCCCCTCTCAGTGATTATGCCCAAAACTGGAATCAGGGCTATGGTTCTTCACTTTGTTTTGCTTAAATTTTTAGAGATTGCTTTTTTATTTTAATTTTGTTTTAAAATTATGTAAACTATTTACATGGTTCCAAAGTCAAATCCACAAAATAAGCTGTATTCAGAGAAGTCTGTATTCTATCCCAGTCCCCTCCATCCTATTTCCTCCTTCTGCCATAGATAATTAATTCTTTTCCATTTTACCCTTCCATTTTAAAAAATATAAACAAATGATAAATGATAGCATCTTATTTCACACTTTTCTTGATCTTGATTTTTTTTCCCTTAACAATATATTGGATATCACTCCATAGAACCATATAGAATGTTCTTCTATAAAATGCTCCATTATGAGGACATACCATTGACATACTCAAGATTGACATTGGGTTGTTTCCAGTCCTTTGCTATTAAAAGTATTGCAGCAACATGCATATGTCTTTTTGTATTTTTGCCTTAGTATCTCTGGGGCCAGTTTTCCCTCCATAAGGATTATGTTGCTTTCCACCCCCAACAACAATGTATGAGAGTTCTTGTTCCTCAATCACAGAAGGCCCCAGTGGGGTCCCTGGTTCTCACATCTGGGAACCCTCCTCTGGAAGGACAGAGAGGCCTGAATGGAGGGCTGTTCCACAGCTAGCCCACTTGCCTGTCCTGGACTTCTGAGTAGCAGTCAACAGCCACCAGGAATAAATGAGAGGCAAGCCAAATGGATCACTGGCTCCTGAGCGATGGAAAATTAGCTAGGTTTTTCGATGACTTTTAAAAATCATCTTAGTTTTAAAGTGTAACACCTCCAACACTAGCAAACAAAAAGGAAAATAAGCCAAAAACAAAATATCACTGCACAGTCACAGTAAACTTGGTGGGATTATTGGGAATCTGAGCATATGTCCCAAGGAGAGATATGAAGAAGTCAGACTTGAAAGGGTCACTTTCCACCAGCCACTGCCTCAGCTGTGACCAAGTTCATACTGCAGAGATGGAAAGGTGGACTTTTATAACTTTTACCATGTACATATGAAAATCTATAGGTGTTTATAAGCTGCGTAAATATTCCTAAATGTCTACTGTATTCCAGGCACTGTTCTAGTTGCTGAGGATATAGTGGATGATAAGACTGAGAGAGACCTTCACCTCTTGCAGCTTACATTTTAGTCAGAAGGTAATACGCATGTAAACAAGAAAAGTATGTAATTTCAAAGAGAGATGAGTGCTATAAAAAGCAGAGGGGCCGGCCCCATGGCTTAGCGGTTAAGTGCGCGCGCTCCGCTGTTGGCGGCCTGGGTTCGGATCCCGGGCGCACACCGACGCACCGCTTCTCCCGCCATGCTGAGGCCACGTCCCACATACAGCAACTAGAAGGATGTGCAGCTATGACATACAACTATCTACTGGGGCTTGGGGGAAATAAATAAATAAACATTAAAAAAAAAGGCAACAAGAGAGGGTAGTCAGTATATAGTAAATTTATGCATAAATATATAGCGATATATCATCCATGTAGCCTAGATGTTGCAAACACTGTAATCCTGTGGTGATGGCTGGATCCCATTTCCTGGATGTTTGGAATTATGACTCAGAATCTCGAGTGTTCAAATAAAGTAGTGATATAAAGCAAGGCCTGGGAAGACCCTATTGGGCTCATGTGCACCAAGGAAAGAGAATACTGACGCTGACATGGAAAGAGGAAACAGGAGACCATGGGGACTTGCCGGGATAGAGCCTAATTTTGTGTTCTGGTTATTATTGCTGTATAAAATAGCCCCAAACTTAGCAGCTTAAAACAATGATTTTATTATGCTTATGGATTCTATGGGTCAGGAATTCAGATAGAGCACAGGAGGATGCTTTATATTTGCTCTACAATGTCTGCATCTCCGTCAGCTGGGAAGACTCCATGGCTGGGGGCTGGGTTTACCTGGAGGGCCTTTCACTCACTTGCATGCCTGACTTGGGCTGGGAAACCCTGAAGACTAGGACTGACAGCGGGAACAGCTATCCTTGGGCTCTTCATACGGCTTAGCTTTCTCATGGTGGCCTCAAAGAGTAGTCAGACTTCTAACATGGGGGCTTGGAGTTCCTAGTGTGAGTGTTCCAGAAAACAGGGTAGAAGCTACATGGGCTTTATGACCCAGTCTCGGAAGTCACATAGGGTCACCTC